AGTAAATAATTGACCTGGAGTCCAGTCCACAGCACATACGCCCCGGGGAAGGCACGTTCTTTCCTCCGTGCCTTAGGGCTTAGGATATTATCGTCCAGATTAGCTGATACCATCCAGCACCCTATCAGCCACATTTTACATCCTTTGACAACACCACAGAGAGCAAGGTACATGCTCCTGATCTATTTCTTTCCTCCAAGTGACCATGAACTGATGACAAGTAAAGCCTGACAGGACAGCTCTGTTGGTCATGCGGAGCACTTTGTGAAAAGCCTTAGATAAATGTAAAGCCATCTAATTCCATGTTAATGGGAAATTCGGTTTTCTGTGTGGAAACCCATACCTTATGGCTAAATGGTGATTTCCAGGCAGGTCTGGTCTGGTTGGCTGTCTCATCTAACGGGTTAGTAATTGAGGAAGTTAATAATGGCAAAAAGTCAAAACATAGAGAACTGAAAGAAGTTTAACATTTATAGCCTTTTATTAGCTCGTATCTGATAGAACTTCATAAACTTGTAGGCAATGTAATAGGAAATGCTTCAAAGTGAAAAACTTTAAATTTTAAACTTAAACTTTAATTTTCATTTAAAATTTAAATTTGTAAGCCTATAAAGAGTTAAACTGCTCCATTTCTACCAGGGTGAATTAGTTATCACCTCATAAAGGTATGAGATGAAGAAGAAAGTATCAAACAAAAGGGACATTTGAACCGATAGCCACAACCTTTACTGTGAGCAGAGAGAAATATTTCATGGAATTGGAGCTGGGTGCATTAGGGATTGCTCCCTTCTAGACCTTGATGTGCCCAGGGCAACCTGGCAGGGAGACCAGAGCAGGAAGTCACATGACCACAATACCCACTGCCTCCCATGACGTACTCAAAATTCTCTGCTTTCAACCATCCTTTCAACACCTAATCAAAGTTCTGAATAATTGGGCTCAGAACCTTCACACAGAAGCACAGATCAGATGCGATCTCTGGGGCCACCTAGTTTTGCCACAAAACTTTCTCCACTGTCAATGCCCACAATTCCGGGGGATATGACAAAAGTGATTACACTGTGGGTCCTGCTACAAAGATTTCAAGCTTTTAAATTGACTTGACTCTGGCCCTGTTCAAACAGCCCTTCACTGTGGTATTGTCCAAATCGCAGAATGGATGCTGGGCCCTTTCCCCGTGCTCTGGACCCATTCCCATCTGACCTGCCATTGGGCTGAGATCTGTATCTCTGTTAAATAAATTTGCTGAGAAAACATCCACAAGACCTGACAGGTGGTTTATTAAATTATTGTTGATGAACTCTTGCTGAGTGGACACAGACCCTATCATAAGGCAAGCACCTCCATGCCTCTAAAATTGTGCTATCTCACTCCACGTCTCCTGAATAAAGAAAGTGAGAAAAGTAACCCATAGAAAGGCCTGGGACCTATCAAGTATTTGTGTGGCTGGCTGAATTAATCTGTAGCCCATTAGCCTACCCATTTTATTCATAACGTACTTCAAGCTCAGTACTGCTTCCCATGAGAAAGCATAATACACCAAACACTGGAAAGCACTTAATGGTTTGCCAGGACTCTTTTCAGTAAATCTGTAAGTTAGGGATGATGCATTGTTCACATTGTTTTATAAGTACAGGAAATGAGGTTTGTTCAAGTTTATTCAGGGACTAAAGACAGAACCCAGTACCAGTTCTTCAGACGCGTGGCCAGGGCACTTTCTACCCAACCTGCTACCTAGAAAGGCCATAAAGCCAGGTGCTGAAGAGTGTGGCATCTGGATTCCTACTAATCAGGGGAAAATCTTGGTTCTACCACCTACTGCTGTGAGCGCGCATGAGTTTCTCAGCCTGTGCACCTCAACCTCCTCATCCCTAAAACAGGGATATTAAGAACAGCCACAAGGGTCCGTGAGGACTACTTGAATAAATACATCTGAGAAATCAAAACAGTGTCCACTACATAGTAAGCACTCCATAAATGTTATAACATCGTTACCATGTGTGGTGGTTATCTGGGAGCTTGTGTGATGCCAGACCCACAAATCAATGAGGATCGCTCTAAGGTGATGTAAAGTACTAGGCACAAATCCTGCTTCGTTATGTGGTCCTGGGAAGTGCGTGTTCTTAAAAACTTTTAAATTAAATATGTAACGTAAAAATGTTTTAAATGTAATATACCAGACTCTAGAATTGGAGAGAGGCACGCCTTGAAAAGATAACCTGCCATATTGTGAAGAGTGTGTGTAGAGGTCCACATGGCACAGACATGCGGGCTTTTTATTGACTATTCCAATTAAAAAGAAAAAAGAAAATAGAGGCATCTGGGGGGCTCAGTCGGTTGAGCTTCCTACTTTGGCTCAGGTCACGATCTCGCGGTTCAGGGGTTTGAGCTCCACGTCGGGCTCTGTGCTGACAGCTCAGAGCCTGGAGCCAGCTTTGGATTCTGTGTCTCCCTCTCTCTCTGCCCCTCCCCACTCACTCTCTCTCTCTCTCAAAAATAAATAAACATTAAAAAAATTTTAAATAATAAAAAAAAAGAAAATATAGGGCATCCTTTTATTATTTGAGGGAAAAACATTATCCCAATCATCCAAAGGGAAGGCACTGTAGAAAACAAGAAATTACAAAAGTCCTTCATAACTGGAAGGTATCATTACTGTCTCATTGGGAGATATGAATACTGCAAAATAAGTCTGGTTTAGAACTTAGAAATCAAAGTTAAAATTAAATGAGCTCTATAAATGGACCTACACCAGATGTGAACCTGGTCCTAAATTTCAGTTTCTAATGAAATATCTCACAGCCCTTGCTCACAGAGCAGCTAGAATGCAAACATTTTTTTCCTCTTCCATTATTCAGAATCTATTCTGATATTAATTAACGGTGGTAAAAAAAAAAAAAAACTCAAAAGAAAATAACAACCATGAATAAAATGCACTATCCCTCTTCCTACCAAATGACCAGCAGCACAAACCTTCCGATCTCTCTGACGCCAAGGACAGCTGCTGGAAACAGAAAAAGCCTTAGAAGGTGGGTCTGGTTGCATCACTTCATCAGCTGAGCCTCCACAATTGGTTTATAATTTACTTGGTAAAAACAGATAGTCAAACATTGGTCAAGTTCCCTGAAAGTCATCCAGAAGGTTGTCCTTGCTTACTGTGCTAACAGAGAGCTGAAAAAGTGCTGTCGAACTACTGTGGTCCCTCTTATAACAGAGACCACCCCTCCAGGGCTCTGTCGGTTTGCTTGCCCTTTAGAGGAAGGGAGGCAGACCACAGGTATAAGGGCAGGAGCAACAGTTCCTAATGAGAAACCAAATAATGCTAATTCGAAACCTCAAGTCCAAGTGAAAGGTTATAAAAACTCTTAAGAGCTCCTTTCTGTACAGAAGAAAATGTACATTCTCAAAAGTCAGCTTATGAAATTACTGCATGAAAAATAGTTTTTTTAATGAATCTGATAATGAACTTCACACTAAAGTCTTCATACTAAAGTTAGCCTATGCCTTTAATAACAGCACAAAGCTAGTCAAATTTTTCAACACCTAAAAAGCACAGCTTATAGCAGGGACAGCCAAACTGCCCATGATTATCTCCAGAAGTTTAGGAAGCTCAGTCATGCCCCAGGGATGTCACTGTGGCCTGAGACAAGGTGACTTTCATGAGGAAGTAAGAAAGAGATTCTCTGGGGCTGTGGTGGGTTTTTTCAGATGCAGGATGAGCTTTCTTCTAACCATTCAATGCCCAAGGTTAAGATATTTGCAACCAGGGGCATCAAATTATAGTCATAGACCCATAGGGCTTGAAGGGCGCATAGAAATGGGCCTCTCATTCTATAGCAGGTAACAGGGCCCAGTGAAGGCAACTGATATGTGCAAGTTTCACAGTGACTGAGCTGACCCAGCAAATTGAGGAAAGAGAATGGAAATCAGGAATGTGCCGCTCAAGTCCCTCCAGCCCCACCCGGCAAGGTTCTCACTACCCCTGTCCTTCTCATGAGGCAGAGAAGTGCATACTAACTGATAGCAAATGTGTACCCCTAGAAAAAGGAAAAGCACTTCCTTTGTCCCCTTCCTTCCACCCTCCATTTCCTATTCCGACAGCCCACTTTTCTCCCACTCAGTTCCACCTTTCCAGGGCCTCAGAGTGCAAGCAACAGCGTTCGCAGTCTTTCCAGGACCCCAAGGTGCAAAGCCAAGGGTCTTGCATCCTCCTTGCTCGGTTCCCACTAGAGCCAGAGGCGGTGGACGGCGCCTTCACAATCACATGGAGCAGAAGCAGTAAATGAGACTGGTTTTGCTTGAAATGCAGAATTTCTGCTAATCAGCTTATGGCTGGTTTGGCCACAAGAATGGTGGCTCTACACTGCATAATCCATCTTTGTAACTTCCTGTCTCCATAAGCCTGCGTGTATGTGTCCTGCTGTGCAAGGTGCTAGGGTGGAGGGGGAGGGGAGACGCAGGGCGGTGTGGCGGCGGTTTAGGCGCAGGCGCAGTGCAGTGCTTGCCGCTGTTGAGAAACGAGTGTCCGCTCCTCCAACACGTTCCCTTCTCGTGGCCGTTCGGCCCCTCGGATTCATTGTATACACCTCATCTCCACACACGAACAGACCTGGCTATCGCTCTAAATGTAGGGCTGCCTTATCTCTAAATGGCCTTGAATGTGGGTCAAACTAATATCATGAGGGAGAGAAAAAATACTCCCGTGCACTTTTATCTTTAGACCGTAAGCACAGAAGAGCCCCGGACTTTCCCAAAAAAAAATAAATAAATAAAATAAATTTTAAAAATAAAACCATTTCACCATGACACTTAACAAAAAATAAGGGAAAGGCTTGAATGTTTAAGGAGTCACTGCAATATGACATTTGTCTCAACTTACCCCACCTATGTAAACAGCATCACTGTAACAACTCAAAAAGCAAAAGGCTCTCTTATTCCACTTGACATGAAAACGTTTCGCTGCATTTTTTCTTTACTGCTGTGCCTAAGGAAATGCTTACCTTCCAGCATTTTTTGCAGACTGTTCCTCATGACGTGGATGTTCTCTATCCCGATGAACTGAAACTTGATATTGGAGTAGTTATCTTCGTTCTCATAGCCCTTCCCTGCGGCACGATTTGCCATTGCATTGAGCTGCGGTGGTCAGCAAAACAGAAGGGTCACCGATGGCATTCAGGACATAACACAACCCGCACATTTCCCCGACAGCCACGAAAGCAGTTCAAAATGATGTGCAGAAACACAACATGTTTGAAATCAGGGGAATAGTGTGCTGAGCTGTTCAGGCACGCATGCTGAGCTTATACGTTTGTTGACGTGGGGAAACGTTTTCTTAGCTGGAAAGCATTCTGCACATCCCTTCTGGAGATGCTTCTTACAGTTCCGTGAGAGATGCCGGATATGCAATTCTGTGAAAGAGCCGAGTCGCCCTGACTTAACCAAACATCATAACCTGTAGGTCGGCAAAAGAATATCAGCAGATACAGCTGGAGTACAAAGCTCTGTGAGCTAAATCGTATCTTCCAGGATTATACTGCCGATAAACACATTATCCTATAGGAATGATGGCACGTTTCTAATCTGCCTCCAAGAATCCCCCAGTTAAACCTTGAACAGGAATCATGGACTAAAGCGAGGGGATGCAGCCCTCTCTCCAGAGCCATTTCCTCCAGGCACTAGACACCTGCTAAGAGGGTTTGGGGACCACTTTCATTACCATAATTTTTTTTTTTTAATTTTTTTTTTCAACGTTTATTTATTTTTGGGACAGAGAGAGACAGAGCATGAACGGGGGAGGAGCAGAGAGAGAGGGAGACACAGAATCAGAAACAGGCTCCAGGCTCTGAGCCATCAGCCCAGAGCCCGATGCGGGGCTCGAACTCCCGGACCGCGAGATCGTGACCTGGCTGAAGTCGGACGCTCAACCAACTGCGCCACCCAGGCGCCCCAATCATTACCATAATTTTG